TTTTTATCTTAAATATATGATCATTCAACACAAAGATTGCAACGAATTAAGCGTTTGAGCCAAATCTCGAGTCAAGGTTGTTGAGATCGAGTTTAGCTCGAGCATATTGAATTCGAACCCAATTAGCTGTATTTGAACTTAGGGCATCCACAACCATTTAACACAAATATCATTCATTCAATAAAAAAGTAACACTCTCTCTCATTCACATCATCTCCACATCATATTTCCACTAAATCTTTCTCCATTTAAGCACACACTCACATTCTTACACATTCATTTAAATAAATATATGGGGCTCATTATCCACTTATTCAATATAAATTTTTATATTCAATTCTCAATAAAAATAAAACTTAATATTTTTAAATTATAATAATAAATTTTAATGCATAAAAATGAAAGAACACTACAAGACCAAAATAACTTAAATTAAGATTACACAAGAAAAAAATAATACAATTACAACAAATATTTTTTTTTAATTGTTGGCCAAATGGATCAAAATATGCTCGACTAAATCGGCACGAAGTTGATGATGCATTGTGTTATCTCGTATATCTGAATAAGGGAAAAGTGTAAAAATGAGGTGTATTTATAGACAAAGAATGAGAGATAGAAAATATAAATTATCCATACATATTGAGAAAAGTAATATAGATAAAATTTGAATTTAACAATATTGGGAAGTGTGATATAGATAAAAAAATAAGTTAAATATATAAAAGAATAATAAAATAGTTAAACAATTTCATTGTTTTAAAGATTTCAGGCGTTCATCCAATTGAACGATCCATAGGTCCCACTTAAATAATGAACGCCCACATTCCAGTGAACACAAATTGGGCGTTTAAACGGGGCGTTTTAACGAGGCGTTGGCCCTTATAGGGGTGCACAAAGTTTGGTCAACCGAGCCGAACCGACCGAAACCGAAACCAATTATATGGTTCGGTTTTCGGTTTACATTTTTCTAAAATTTCGATTTTAATTCGGTTTGGATAATTGTGATCGGTTAACTGAACCGAACCGAAAATCGATTTATATATAAACAAATTTTTTATTTATACATATAAATTATATAAGCATTAATTTTGCTTTAGTGGTTGAAAATTTTCAAGTATTAACCCCTAAAATTGTCCAAGCATTAATTTGCACTCAAAATTGGCTTCGTCATAGTCCAAGTCACGTTTTGGGTCCGGAATCTTCATTTGAGGAGAATTTAAAATTTATTGACAAGATTAAATAAGGTGATAAAAAAATATTTTTTTTGTTGGATAAAATATTAAATTTTTTATTTGGAAAATTTATTAATAATATTAAATATTTATTGCGATTAACCGAAAACCGAATCGAATCGACCGTTGGATTTTCGATTAAAAACCGATCCAAAACAAATTTCGGTTCGGTTTTCAGTTTTGATAATGGACAAACCGAATTTTCGGTTAACTGAAAAAATTGGTCGGTTCTGTTTGGTTTTAACCGTATGAGCAGCCCTTTGAACTTATGTTTTGTAAGCTTGAGTGAATCGATAAATCGTTCGGGTATTAAGTGTAATTTATCTAAATACCTCTAATTAATTAAATTAAAGTTGATCGAAAGTCGAGCGAATTTTTTAAATTTGGTCCAATCTCAAGCCAATGAAATTCGAATCGATGATCTTGAAAATCTGAATAATTTTATCGAGTCGAGTTAAGTCTTAAAAAGCTTGAGTAGTCATCAACTTCAGCTCCATCAACATTAAATATAGCAAATTGACCGCGCGTCGCAACGCGGCAAAATTAAAATTTATATTTTCCTCGACTAACCTCTACTAGCTAGTAGTAGTGGCAAGTAAGGGTCGATCCCACGAGGAATGTGTATCAAATTGTGAATTTCTCGTATTAATTGAATTAAGAAAGCAATAAAAAGAGGGGGGTTTTGAATTTAAGAACTAAATTAACTAAAATCCTAATAAAGAAAATAATATATAAACAATGAAAATAAAAATAAATAAATGAAGAGAACTTTCTAGTTCACGGTTCCGTCTACACCCTCGACTGACTCGTCTAATCAACTTTGGTATCAAATCTCGTTATCTT